TTTCCCAATCAATTTTAGGATTGTTTTCTCTAATTCTGTGAGATATGCTATTGGAATGTTCACTGGAATTGCATTAAATCTGTATAACAGTTTTGGAAGGATGGGCATTTTCACCATATTGGTTCTGCCTACCAAAAAGCAAGGGATATCTTTCTATTTTCTGATATCCTCTTCAATCTCCCTTTTCAGAGTACTGTAGTTTTCAATGTAGAAGTCTTTTACATCCTTCATTAGATTGATTCCTGGGTATATAATTTTCTTAGGTGCTATTGTGAAAGGTGTTGTTTCCCTAATATCTGTCTTAGTGAGTTTGTTATTTGTGTACAGGCAGCATTAATTTTTGAGTGTTGACTTTCTATTCTGCTACACTACAGAGTTTGCTTATTAAATCTACCCATTTTTAGTGGAGTTTTTGGGGTCTTCTATGTAGACTATCATATCATCTGCAAATAATAATTTAACTTCTTCCTTTCCTATTGTTATTCCTTTTATTTCTTTCTCTTGTTTAATTGCTCTGGCTAAAGTTTCCACAACTAGGTTGAATAAGAGTGGAGACAGTGGACATCCTTATCTATTTCCTGATTTTAGAGAGAAAACTTTCAGTTTTTCTCCATTTAGTATGATGTTGGCTGTTCGTTTGTCACAGATGGCTTTTATCAGATTGAGCCAAGGACCATTTATTCTAATTCCTGTAGGGTTTTTATCATGAATGGGTGCTACAATGTCAAAAGTTTTTTCTGCATCTATTGAGAGCATATGATTTTGGTCCTTGGCTCTGTTGATATGGTCTACATTGATCCCTCAACTATTGCAGGAGTTATTTCTAGAGACCTCTGTGATAGGTGAAAATCCACAAAGTAGCAGTGTTATATTATTTTATTATTTATATATATTTTAAGGCTTTTAAATCCTTCCCACACTCCTATAAACCTTTCCCACTCTCTTACTAACCTTTCCCACACTCTTATAAACACTTCATATGCTCTTAAACACTTTCTACACTCTTAAACCTATGTAATTTTAACAACATGTAAAATTCTACATGGGTACTCACCAGTGAAGTACTGTATACTGCAAAATCCTGCAGTATAGTGAAAACTCCATGATACAGAATTAGTTATTTTTTTTAAAACCTGTGATACAGTGAAGCTGCAATAAGTGAACCACAATATAGTGAGGGATGACTGTATTACATTTATTGATTTACAAATGTTGAACCATTCTTGCATTCCTGGGATGAATCCCACGTGGTCATGGTGTATAATCTTCTTGATGATTTGCTGCATTCTGTTTGTCAGTATCTTATTGAGGATTTTGCATCTATGTTCATTAGGGAAATTGGCCTGTAATTCTTTTTCTAAGTTGGGTCCTTCTCTGGTTTGTGTATCAGGGTAATGCTTGCTTCCAGGAACAAATTTGGAAGTATTGCTTCCCTTTCAATTTCAGTAAAAAGTTTGAGAAGTAATGATGTTAGAGCTTCTCTAAATTTCTTGTAGAATTTAGTAGTGAATCCATCAGTGCCTGGGCTTTTCCTTGTTGGTAGGTTTTTAATTACATCTTTGATTTCATTGATATTGATTTATTTAGGATTTTTAATATCTTCTTTATTTAGCTTTGGTAATTCATATGTATCTAGGAATCTGTCCATTTCTCCTGCATTTTCCATCATATTAGAGTACAGATTTTTGAAGTAGGTATAGATGATCTTCTGGATTTCTGCATGGTCCATTGTGATTTCATCCTTTTCATTCCTAATTGTGTTGAGTCTTCCATTTCCTTTTGGATAAGGTTGGCTAAGGGTTTGTTGATTTTATTTAACCTTTCAAAGAACCAACTCTTCGATTCACTGATGCTTTTTGTTGTTTTTTTAGTCTCCAATGCATTAATTTCTGCTCTGATCTTTATAATTTTCTCCCTCATACTAGATTTGGCTTAGCCTGCTCTTCTTTTTCTAGAAGTTTGAGGGTCAACATTAAGTTATTTATTTGTGCTTGCTCTGTTTTCCCGATATGGGTATTCACTGCTACAAATTTTCCTCTCAAGACTAATTTCAGTGTGTCCCATACATTCTGGTATATTGTCCTGTCATTATCATTTAATTGTAGAAACTGTCTAATTTCTTTTTTAATTTCATCTGTTACCCACTGGTTGTTCAACAGGGTGCTATTTAATTTCTGTGTTTATGAAGTTCTTGTTGTTTCTTTTGCCATTGATTTCCAGTTTCATTGCACAATGGATGGATAATGTGCATGGGATAATTTCAATTCCTTTGCATTTACGTAAGCATGTTCTATGGGTTAGTATGTGGTCTATTTTGGAGACCATCCCATGAGCAGCTGAGAAGAATGTGTATTCTCATGTTTGGGAGTGGAACACTCTGTAGACATCTACTAAATCCTTTGTTCAAAAGTTTGATTCAGTTGTAATATTTCATTGTTTGTCTAGTTGATCTGTATTTTTGTGACAGAGGGTATTCAGATCCCCCAATACAGTTGTATTAGTGTTCATTTCATTTTTCATGCCCATTAATATTTGTTTTATATAGTTGGGTGCACTGGTATTTGTTGCATATATATTTATGATAGTTATCTCTTCCTTTTGGGTTGTTCCCTTTATGAGGATGTAGTGATGACCTTTATCTCTCTTAATCAGTCTTGGTGGGGAGGACCACCTGCGTGACTGTCCTTGAAGGAGCAATTGTCTCCACATCAATTGCTGGACCTGACCCTATTTCAATGTACTGATATGTTCAGAGCTGGTTAAGACTTTATCTTATCCCTTCCATTGGCTTTAAGCAATACAAATTGGTCCAGCCAAGGTGCTGATATTAGTTGTTATGGTTTGTGTCTGCATGTCCCCCCAAATCCTCATGCAGTCATGGGGCGGGCTTCTAGATTTTTGATTGATCCATAGTCCAATGCTGGGATCATGAGTGTGAGGAATATACCAGCCCTCGGCCAGACAGTTTGCATATGTAAGGGAGAGGAAGAGGCTGCTTGGTGCCACTACTTCCTTTTTTGCTGTTGTTGCTTTGCTATGTTCTGCCACCATGAACGGTTGCCCTCTACCATGAGCCAATCTTCCTTGGAGCCAGCTTAATTTTGGGTGTGAAGTATTTTGTCTCAGCAACAAGAGAAAAGTAACCAAGACAGTAGTCTTTGAAGAAAAGATGACAGGGCAGTGTTTTCCCCACCCCTCATAGCTCCTAAATAAAATATATGTGAGCCAAGGCAAGGTGGGATGGAGAGGTGTGCCCTGCACTGTCAGCTGGGATGGAGCCTCAAAATAAAACTCTATGACTTCCCAGGGCATAAAAGATTACACTTCAGAGCTGAAGCACCAACCCCAAAACATTAGATACTATCTCAATTGTGTTATCAGATTACTATTTCTGCATATCCTTATCTCTGCATATTTCAGAAGTGATTTCAGGCCTCTTACCTTGCCCAGCTCATGGCACTCACCTACTTCCTCTCTTTCTATAGTCACTCATCTCAAGCCACTCCCTTCTTCACGAATTAGAAAAACCCAGGTTTGGCCCTGGGTCAAGGCTTTTGTTCCAGTTAACTGTTACTGTAGCTGGATTTAGGATCCCTTTGCTCGCCATAACTACAAATATGCCTTAGTGCCTTTATTTTTGCCATGGTTTGCACTGGAAGTAGTAGATTGGAATTTACTCACTACAATTCCAATAACTTTTCTTTTTTTTTTTTTTTTTTTTTTTTTTTTTTTTTTTTTTTTTTTGGTTTTTTGGTTTTTCTCCAGTACCGGGAACCGAACTCATGACCTTGCGCTTGCCAGGCAGGTGCTTTTGCCGCTTAGCTAAATCCCCAGCCCCTCCAATAACTTTTCAATGGGTTACAAATATAAACTTCCTGGGCCACAACAAGGACCAGGAAGGGCTCTTTATATCGTGGCTTGAAATTCACTTTGTCTGCTAATAGAATAGCTAGCCCTGCTTTTTTTCTGGGTTCCTGTTGCATGGAGTATCATTTTCCATACTTTGAGTTTCACTCTCTGAATTTCTTTTTGAATTAAATGTGTTTGTGCATGCAGTAAATTGTTGGATTTTGCTTCTTGATCCATTCTGCCAGTCTGTCTCTTTTGATTGGTGAATTGAGACCATTAACATTGATGGTTATAACTGATATGTATTGAGTTATCCTTGTCATGTTACTTTCCTGTTGATGGCTCTTCCTTTTTTTTCCCTCCCTCTGGTTAATTTTGTCTTGCCTGGTGGATTCCTTTTGTTGGGGTTCATAGAGTTATAGTACTTGTTATTTCTTTCTATAATATCCTTCAGAACATTTTGGAGTGCTGGTTTAGTGGTCATAAATTTCCTTAGATGTTCTTTGTCATGGAATTATCTTATTTCTCCATTGGATTTGAAAGATAAGTTTGGTGGAGTATATCAACCTGGGTCGAAGGTTGTTTTCTTTTAGAACTTGAAATACTTCACTCCAAGCTCTCTTTGACTTGAGGGTTTGTGCTGACAAGTCAGCTCTGATTCTGATGGGCTTTCCTTTAGGAGATTTGTTTCTTTTCCCTAACAACTTTTAAGATTCTGTTTTTGTGTTGAATTTCTGGCATCTTGACTATGATATACTGGCTGTAGAAATTTTTTGATCGTGGCTAATTGGAGTTCTACATGCCTTACTGTTCTGTGTGCCAAATTGTTTTTCTCTAACAGTTTTGTCATGACATCTGTTAAGTTTTTTTTATATATATCACTTTTGCTATCTCTTGCTTTTTCATTGACTCCAATCAATCTTCAGTTCTTTGCTTCATCTAGCAGCTGCTGTGTTGATTTCCCATGGTCCTTGCTATTTTAAAAAAAATCTTTCATTTCCTGATTGCTAAGCACAAGCCTGTCTTCTGTGTCTGAGATCTGGTCCTCACATTGGCTTAATCTGCTTCAGATACTTTCAATGGAATTTTTATTCTCCTGGATATGCACTTGAATCTGCCTGATTCCATTTCTTTCTTATGCTGACAATTCATGGCTTCCATAATTTTCTTAAGCTCTTCTATTTCTTTGTATCTGCTCTAGTGTCACTAAGCATGGTTTTTGTTGTGGACACCATTTCCACAGTTATTTCTGATTTTATTTTTTGTAGAGTCTCATTCAATTGCTTTGTTGTTACCACTTCAGAGAGGTCAGGTGGGTGGCTCTACTTGCACCTCAATATCCCTTTCTCTTTTGGCTTCTTAGAAGCCTGTATATCTCCTAGCCCTAGAAAATATGTATCCCCATGCTTTACCCCTGATGTGCCAGTACCATGCACTCCAGTGCTGAATACTAGCTTTCACAAATGCACTTCCTCCTTTCTGTTGTTCACTGTTGGGAAGTGTACCCACTGCCCACTTATTTTCTCTCACTGGGTGTCCAGTTCTGGCACCAACTGTAGGGAACCTCTTCAGTCTCTTGTTGTAACCTAGAGAAAAATGCAGTGGGTATGAGAAAAATAAAGACAAGAGACAAGAGCTGGGTCAGGTGGAGTTACCTCTTACCTGATGGGAAGAGGACTGACTTCAACAGTAGGGGCATTTATTTTATACACTTGCAAAGTTAGTATCAGGAGAAGTAATGATGCCTAGTGACTAACAACTGTAACTGTCCAGGCAGGATGCTTTTTTAAATACTGAGGTAGCTTGATTGCTTGTGGCACTCTGGCTCTGTGCTGCCCTCACACATATGACCAATACCCAGCTCCAGTGGCTCCCAACACAATATGTCAATTTTTCCCTCAGGGGTTAGAATTTAAATTTGGTTAGGGAGAAAACAGAGAAGTAGAAGAAGAGGAAGAGATTAGAAGTAAGGGTGGAGGACAAAGGGGGATCACGCCAACTTTGGGAAACTGCTGCAGAAGACTGGCTGGAAAGATAGAAGGAAGGGATAAAAAGAAAAACAGAGCAGAACAACAACTACAACAATGAAGAGTCTATACACCATGTTCACACTCATATAAAAACAAAATTATACAATGATGGACAAAAAAAAAAACAAAAACAAAACCACAACCACCACAACAACAAACAAATGAGAGAGGAAAAAAAAGAAAAAGAAGGTATGTCTCTGCTATCATTAGTAGAGAATGTGTGGAGAGAGAGTCCCAATCCGTGTTGATTTATTCCAGTAAGCCAGCAGTAGCTTTTTGGTGGGGAAGTGGATAATTCAGTGAGCCTGCACCTTATAGTCAAGATCAGATTCGTTTGACCTGTAGCAGTCAGTGTGCCTTCCATGGGCCTGAGCCCAGCTGGGAGCCACTTGATAGAGCCAGCAGCTGCTCTGAGTTCTGAGCTCAGGTGGTCCCTCTCTAAGATGGCTCCAATAAGACTCCTTAACAGCATTTGGAATCCAGAAGAAAATAACACAATTCCTTTATTACTATTACAAAGCCCAATGCATTCTGAGAATTCTATATTCATTCAAATTAAAAAGGTAGTGTGAAGATTAAATCAAGAGAATTCCAGATATATGGCAATTACAAAATTATTTCTGATGTAGGTTTTCTTAGGAAGCTACTGGACTACATTCCATCAAAACTTGGGAATAAAGTAGAAAAATTAAACAGAAAACTAACCAAGAATGCTGGACAAAGTCCCAGTATTATACAAAAGGCAAGTCCCAGGGCAATATCTGGCAGCAGACTTGGACAAAAATATCTAGAATCAGAGGGCAAAAGACTATAAGAAAGGTGCTCTCCAAGGAAAATTAAGAAGCTAATATGTTTGACCATGTGGAAAATATTTACAGGCAACTGAAAGCAGTATTAGAGGACTGGAAAAAATTAGCACAACATTATATGAACCTAGGCAAATTAAGAAACAAAGCAGTTTGCTCTCAGAAAAATGAAAATTGTACTAGAAAAAATTCCAGGTCTAGTGTACTATTTGGCTAAGATTAAGAACATCTGCAAGGTCCTAATCACATGGATGACATGATATAACTCCACTGCAAGGATACAAAATGAGGAAAGTGTAAAAATCTTAATTTAAAGTTACCTGGGAGGTCACCTGGAAATATTTATCAAAAACAGTGATATAGGCCGAGTGTGGTGGCACACCCCTATAATCCCAGCACTCACGAGGCTCAGGCAGGTAGATCGACATGAGTGCAAGTCCATTCTGGTTACACAGTGAGTTTATGGCCAGCCAGAACTATACAGTGAGACCCTGTCTCAAAAAAAAAAAAAAAATAGCAATATAGGGATACTAATTTGAAAAACAGGAAACATGCCAAGACAAACAGCAAAAAGAGTTTAGGTAGCCATGAGGGTAGTATGATTAGGTGGAGGGACAACACCTAATAATTTTTCAAAAGTCTTCTAACACTTCTTGAACTGGGGAGGGACTGGTGATTGCACTGAGCTATATTCCCAACCCCTTTTCTTAAATTTTGAGACCGGGTACTAAGTTGCCCAGGCTGGCTTAGAACTTGGTACCGTATCCTTCTGTTTCAACCTTCCCAGTAACTGGGAATACAGGTATCTACCCCTGCCTGCATCTCTTTTCTAATTTGTACCCTATTTTTCTCTTGTACAAAGTACTTAGGTACTTTGCTTAATACTTTCAAAATGATGTTAAATAACATATTCTTGGTTTTTTTTCTACTAGTTGTATTAGAAATGCTTCAAATATTTCCTGATTAAACAATAGATTAGTTTCTGAAAGCAAATTTATTCCTTTTAAAATTTATTTTCTACTGCAGTACATTATTTCCTTAGTTATTCTCATTAATATTGGGCAATAATCTTTACTGTAAAAATGGTGAAGGTAATTGTAAGCTGATATGAGAAAGGAACCAGATCCTCTGGACATTGGCTCACAAAAATGGATTAGGCCAGGGATATAGCTCAGTGGCACAGCACCTTGCTTGGCAAGCATGAGGTCCTGAGTTCAATTCCTGGTACAAAAAAAAAAAAGGAAAGAAAGAGAAAGAAAAGTGGATTGGGAAAACTCAGTCCTTTTCTAAAGAAAGTCAAATAGGAGAATCTTAAACTGAACAGATTTGAGATTATTCTTACCTTGATTTTTATTGCATCTGTACCAAATACACACATTTTTAGAATTGAGAACAGATCCATTCAGAGTTCCAAATGTATACACTGAGAAAAACACTACTCCTATACTGAGCCCTCTATCCTAGCACCTTCTAATTTTCAGATAAAACAATCATATGTTGAATAGATATGATTTACTGAGTTCCCTAAGAGACACAAATTGAATACTGATATATTATTACTATCATTTGGGGAAAGAATCCAAAAACTCTGCCCACCACCTTCTCCAGAGATCAGGTAAAGTTCTTTTGATTAATAATGCTTTCAGTTAAGCTCTAAGTATCACTCTAAAAACCAAGAAGAGATAAAGAGACAGAAAAAGAAATTCTAACCTAAAGAGGAGAGGAAGGATAGAAAATGAGAAATCTTTAAAGAGATAAGGACTGAGGATTTTCTTTGTACTAATAATTAATAATACTTATAAATTCCCAAGCAGATAAATAAAAGAAATGCACACTTAAGATATATTAAAATTATAGGAAAAACTAAAGGCCTTTAAAAAGCTAGAGAAAGAAAAAGCTACCTCAGAAGGAAAAGTGCTTAAGTATTAAGACTGACATTGGAATAGAATGTGAAGTTCATGAATATTCCCATGTACATATGGACACTAGACATATTTGCAGAACAGTGAAAACAGAATGAAGTTTCCAGTATATGGTATTGAGAAAAAACGGGAAAAAACTTGACCCATAGACCTGCCAGTTGCAAGTGGATTTTTTGGTAGTACCAAGATTTAAACCCAAGGCATTTCCACTGAGCTAAATCTCCAGCCTTTAAAACTTTTTTTTTTTTTTTTTTAATTTTAAAAGCAGTCTTACTAAGTTGCCAGGTTTCTCAGGCTTGGTTCAGGCTTATGACTCTACTGCCTTAGCCTTTCTTTAAATAAAGTGCTATTTCAAAGCAAAAGCAAAACTTCTACCATTTAGTATAAATATTACTATAAACACTAGATATATAGAAACTATTAGGCTTTAATACCAGGAACAATCATCCTTTACTCCAACGGAGAACTTATACAGACCTATATTCAAATAAAATATCATTATTCACCAAAAATTTAGGAAGAAAACAAAAATGAAATCACACCACACCTTGGTTATTACTTGTGTTAGTCCATCATGCATTCTTTCCTCCTCTTCTGGGTGACTCATATGGAAAAGGGCAGAACTACGAGGGGAAAAAAATAGCCACTAGGTTTTTCTTAGTACTCAAAGTGAGAAGCCATTACTAGTCTCATCCCATTACTTACTCCATAGGGGGAATGGAAATCGGAGGAAAATGGGGCCGCCTAGCCAGTTTCAACCTCTCAAGAGAAAGGCTGAGTTCACTGCTGTCCAGGGGCTAGAATTAACCAAACCTCAGAAATATCCTGAAGACACAGTTCTTAAGTCACAATCACACAGGTTACAGGAGCCCCATACTGATACATACAGTGTCACGCATATTTAGGCACAGTCACACTTCAGCCAAATGCTTACAATGACCAGACATCCTACATACTGACACATAAAGTCCAAGTGTCACAGTGTATCTCACAGACAATCCCATAAACTCCCTTCTAAGGGGAGCTCTGATCTATCAGCTCCCTGTGGGCCTACAGGATTCTTGCCTAAAGATTTTCCAGAGTCTTCTCAAGTCTAAACCTGCAGACGTGAACCAGGTAACCCCAGGGACCACGCTCTCTTCACCAATCTAAGGATCCCGCCAGGCGGGACGAAACGTCAGAGATCGCGCGAGAAGAGCGGCAGGCTACTATGCCCTTTGGGAAACGTAGTCCAGAGTACGGCCCACACGTTATTCCTCTCAGTAACTCCTCTGAGCGCGCCTGCAAGGACTACTCCAGTAACTCTCCCACGTCCAAATATAGTTTCACAACTGTTCGCCGAGACAGAGCGTAGCGTTGGAGTTGAGCCTCCCCTGCAACCCGGGCTCCCCACTCGCCTGCACCCTGACCGCAAGAGCCCTCCGACAGGACGCTGAATTAGGCCGCAGTGCATTCTGGGTGGGATGAAGCGATAGAGGATTCTGTACCTGGTTTGATACACTCGAGTCTGTCCTCTCTGCAGGGCGATTTCACCCAGGCTTTCACAAACTGCTTGCTGGGTGCACTTTTGGGCGTTTCCGGTAGGCGACGCTGAAGAGTCCCCACAGCGGGAGGTAAGGGGGGCGCTGGAGCGGTCCGGTTTGTACCGGCCGCGGGTGGCTGATGGGGTGGGGGCTGCCAGGCAGACCCTCAGTGTCTGGAGCAGGGGCAGTGGGGAGCACCGGTCGTGTGAGTATGTACGTTACTGGTGACTGACAGGAGTTGGAACAAAAAACTAGCGGAAGTGTGTGTGTTTATAATTTGGAGGTCGTGTGCTGGAGATGGGATGTGTGGTTGTGAGTGTGATGGCTTAATTGTGATGAGTATGAGGCATGGTGATGTTTGTGGTCGTGTGTTTGTGATGAAGGGTATAGTGAGTGTGAGCATGGTGAATTGTGTATGATTGTGATAGTAAGTGGTTCTTTCTTACTTGGGTTAGTTTCTCTAGCATTTGATACAGTTGGTAACTACTGTGCAAACATTTTCTGGACCCGGCGTGGTGGCACATGCCTATAATCCCAGCACTCTGTGAGGCTACTACAAGACTGCAAGTTCGATCCCAAACCGGTTATTAGTAGGGAGACCCTGTCTCAAAAAGATAATAAAAAAGGGGTGAGGATATTGCAGAAGGCCTTGATTTCAATCCTCAGTACCACCACCGAGACAACAACAAAATTCTGTATTTGTTTTCTAGTGGTCCTCCCTTTTCATTGGCTCCTCTGTCTTCTCTGCTGCTGCTCTTCCTCTCCCCCACGATCCTTGGCTTTGTTCTGTAGCTTTCCAGTTTTTCTTGATGATATTTTCCCGGTTCATTATTATCGTATTATGCTTTGCTTCTTTAATTATGTGTATTTGTTAGTTTATTTTTAATGTAATTTTTTGTGGTGCTGTGGATTTAAGCCAAGGCCTTTCACGTGGCAAGTACTCACTAAACTATACTCCCTACCCAGATATTAATTTAACAATGCTTAACAAACCACCCCTAAACTCAGTAGCAGAGGATAGCTGGTATTTATTCTTGTGTTGACGTTTTTTTGCAGGTTCATTTATTCATGCTGCATTTGGTTAAACTGTAGATTGAGTTCAAATCTACCCTGCATTTCTTCTTTCTGGGGCTCTGGCCAAAAGGACAGGGTGTGGATACCAGGGCATTTTCTTTTTATGGTGGGTCATCAAAGCACATAACAGATCACACATACACACCCTTGAAACCTCTGCTTCTAAATATGTTAATATTACATTAGTTAAAGAAAGTCATGCTAAGCTTAACATTAATTACATCCACAGTTGGAGAGCAAGGAAAGTTACCTGACAAATAGGTGAATGTATAAGCCTATTAGAGGAGGACCAAGGTTCCAATGTACTACACTTAAATAGGATGTTTAGCTTCTTTTGTGTGATAGTACTACTTTTTAGGTTTGTTAGTGTATTTTCAGAAATTTCATTTTCCTGATCCTTTCCTTTATGTTTCAGGTTATGTGTGAGGAGCATATTCCTGAGCTTTATACCCTTTTAGCTTGCTTGATGAATAGGTGAGTTTAATTCAGTTACATTTATCACAGTGGCTGATAAAATTTTGTTTTCTTTTTGTTATATTGTTTTAATGTGCAGTTTTCAACTTCTCCCTTTTCCTCTCTGCTGTTATCCTTGAATTTTTAATGTGCATACTAACAAAACCCAAACTTAAGTCTGTTAAACACTTAAACTCTGAATTACTCATCCTTTTCTGTTTTGTAATTATTTGAGATATTATTGTCTTCTAGTTTTAAATTCTCAAATTAGTAAACAGAGTAAGCATGGTAGCAGACACTTTTAAAACTAGCAACTCAGGAAAATGATGCAGAAGGATTACAGGTTTGAGGCCAGCTTGAGCAATTTAACAAATTCTAGGGGGAAAACTGGCTGGGAATGTAGTATAGTGGTAGTTGGTAGATCTAATCAGTGGTACAGCAGCGTGGATTTGTTTGGTAGATCTAATCAGTGGTAGAGCAGCTTGGATTTATTCCCCAGTACTGAGTGTGTATGTGTGAGCATACACACACACATACATACACCAAAATTAGCAGTAGTATTTCATTTGTGTGTGTATATGTATTACATATGTTACATTGTGAACTATGTGACACAATTTATGATTTTTTTTTTTTGTCTTCTTGAGACAGGGTTTCACTATGCAGTTCTGGCTGGGCTTCAGCTCACTTTGTAGCCCAGGCTGGCCTTGAAGCAATTGTCCTGCCTCAGCCTCCCAAGTGGAGTGCCGCTGTGCCTGGCTATTGTCTTAATTATATTTAATTATATAGTTCAGTGACACTGAGTGTATTCAAATTGTTATTCTCTCATCACCACTGATATTCTTCATCTTGCAAAGCAGAAACTTGGTACTCACTAAAAATAACTCTCTGTTACACTTTTCCCCCAGTCCCACCAACTGCCAATGTACTTTCTATGAATTTAACAACTCTAGGTACCTCATATAAGAAGAATCATATTAAATTCACCCTTTTATGACCAGTTTAACATAACATAATGTTGTCAGCATTTATCTGTGTTAGTTTGTATGAGAATTTCCTTTCTTTATAAGGTTGAATAATACTGTATTTGTTGTGTGTGAATAAGCATTTTGGTTACCTATTCATCCATCATTGGACACTTGGGCTGCTTCTACCATTTGGCTGTTACAAATAACACTGACATAAACATGAGCATATACAAATATCTGAGTGCCTGCTTTCAGTTGTTTTGGGTGTATACTCAGAAGAATTGCTTGATCATATTGTAATTCCATTTTGAATTTTTTCATTTCCACAGTTTTCCATAGTGGTTGACATTTTATCAACAAACTTTTTAAGTCCTAGCTATCACTGTGAAAACCATACAAAAGTTCCTGTTTCCATGGAGTTTATATTGAGGGGGGTAAATAAGTATATGTATATATTTATGTGTACATGTTATATATGTTAAATAAAATTATATAGTTTTTTATAAGGAGATACTGGCTATGGAAGAAAAGTAATTTGGGAGTATATCAACTGTAACACTTCTCAAAATTTATTATAATTAAATATTTTCATTACTTCTATTTGCCAAGATTATTTCTGTAATGCGAAGATTAATCTTTCTTGTAGAAGATGATAAATTCATATATAGTAATAGCCATGTCATTTATTCATCCAGTATCGTGAATGACATGGGTAAAATTCTCACTTCAAATGAAAAGTCTTGGGATTCTAAATTTCAACTGTACTTCAGTTGCCAAGGTAAATCAGATAGTGAATGAAATACCTGAACTTTTAATGCAACTCTCTTTTACTCCATATATGTGGTTGCTGTAAATCTGAGTATTTTTTTACTCACTTCTTAGCTGTCACTGTATTGAGTCTGTACCTTTATATTCATACATGATATTTGAGGAGCAGATATATGAACATTGCTTTGTTTAGTGCTTTGAGTTTTCTCCAGAGTTCTGCTGGTCTCTGTATCTAACATCTCTGGTCAATGACTCCAGAAACTTTGAATTACAAATAAGGAAGATAAATGTTGGGTTATCTATTAGCAAATTACCATTGGTAATATTACCAAATTATCTCTAAATTTATCTGCTTAAATAACAGTGTATATTTGTTTGCTGATAGTATCTGTGGGGCTTGACTCTGCTGATTATTCTGGCTTATGTATTTCAGGAAGTTGTAGTCAATATGTTGACAGGGTTGCAGTCTTCAGAAGGCTGGATTCAGCCGGGAGAATTTGCTTCCAAGATGACTGGCAGGTTAATGTTACCTGTTCACAACTAGACTGGTTGAATGAAATGGTGGCTAGCTTCATTCAAACTTCATGATCCAAAAAATATACAAAATGGGAGCCCCAGTGTCTTTTATAGCCTAACCTTGAAAGTCATACACCATTGTTTCTGTAGTGGCCTGTTGATTATAGAGATCAAACCTGTTCACTGTAGTGGGATCTATAAAAGATATGATCCCCAGAAAACATTGATTATTGGAGAATATTTTAGAGGCTGGTTACCATGGGAATACAATGAGAAGACATCAGGTAAATTGGATTTATATCCTAAGCTCACAGGTGCTGGCTCCACAAGAAGAAAACAGACCTGTGATATGAGGACAAAGAAGCCTGAGGAACAAAAATCATGACGGAAACCTCCTAACCTGAGACTTACCTGAGTAGCTGGAGAATCCTGGGAAAAAGTGGACCCCGGAGTTGCTGGACCCACAGACTATCTTGACCATTGTGCCCAGAGCTAGCAAGGTCTGAATGTCATCTCAGCCTTGGATATCAGCAGTAGTTGTCTGAGAATGGACCATTCGATCCAGATGATGGAAAGGAGAGGTGAGGTGGCTCAGGGGTGGGAAGTTTAGGAGAGGGGAGCTGTATACTCAGGGGCAGTGCAAAAGAAGAAATTTAATACCGCTGCCAGTAGTAGTTCACATAGGTGTTACTATGTAGGACACACTGTTATTTTTTGTTGTCGTTTATGTTTTTATTTTCTGGTACTGGTAATTGAACCTTTGCACTGAGCTACATCTCTAGCCCTTTTTATTTATTTATTTATTTATTTTTTAAGATGAGGCCTTACTAATCTACTATGTTTCCGAGGCAGGGGTCAAACTTGAAATCTTCGTGCCTTGTGCCAGAGTGCTGAGATTATAAGCATGTGCCACCAGGCCTTGCTGATATTTGTTTTTTATTTATTTGACTATGTAATTTTTAACAAAAAATCCTCAGGGTTATGGCAGCTTGAGAATAGGTTTTGCTATTTACCAGGCTGACTTTTAACTCACTGTGTAGCACAGGCAAGCACTGAACTTGTGATTCTCCTGGTTTATCCTTCCAAATGCTGGGTTTGTGGGTAGATGCCACCATACCTGGTTTAAAATAAATATTTTAAATAATTTCTATTTTTCTTTGAGGATATATTGAAATATATTTTTAATGCTGTATAAAAGTATAAACAGAAATTGCATACTCTGTCCCTCCTGATCCTTCTTCCCACTGCCCTGAGGCAATCACTTTGAACATTTTTGTTTGGCTATTCATCTCCATTTTTCTGAGTAACATCTACATACAACTATTACTTGATTTCTCACTTAAAGTTCCTATTAATTATGTTAATGTACATAAATATTTAGCTGTCTTTCACACGTCACCCTTACCTGGACATACTCTTTTCCTTGTCCTTCTTTCTAATCAGATTTTAGGATCTATAGGCATTTCTTTTGGACTAGTCAGCTTTCTCAGGAAGAAGCACTAGATTTGCTTGGGAAATGTAAGCAGGAACTGCTGGCTTTTTGTGAGGCAAACAAAGGAAGGAAATGTAGTTCTGATACTTGTAGCTTTACATATTTTTCATGCTTTTAGAAAATGCATTGTTCTTTATTGTCTCACATTGTTCCTGGCTCTCTGCTCTTGATGAATAGGGCAGAAAAAGTTTGTACCTTTGAAGTTACCCACAGTCCTTTATTTTGAACATTTTCCACTTTGCTGCTTCTTTTTCCTCAGTTTATATATTAGTGATCATGAAACACACACACACACACACACACACACACCCTTCTTTTGAGTATATGATCATCTTTCAACATTTCACTTCTTTTTTTCCTACATTGCTTCAGCTACTTTTATCTGCACCTGATATGCCTGAAATCCAGAACCTCACTAAAAATAGCCCCCCCACCAAAAAATATATCACATGTTTTTCCAGTGTGATGTAAATGTCACCTTATTATGTAAGACAAAAGAAGACATCAGTTGGCTTTAATAGCATTTTTATTTATTTTATTTTATCTTATTCTATTTTATTTTATTTGGCGGTATTGGGGATTCAACCCAGGGCCTCATACATACTAGGCTGTATACATACTATACTCTACCACTTAGCTATGTCCCCGGCCCTAGTGCCTTTTTTTAACACCCTACATTTAGGTCCCTGTTTTTCCACCCTGTTGACAAGTTCCTATTTGCAGAAGTATCTGATACCTCCATTTCTTCTGTAGGGTACTGCTACAGTTTTTGTACTCTCCCTCCAACCCTTTTTGAAGCTTACGGTTTCTCTGAGTAAGTTAGGTATCAGTCATCTCTCGCTCTCTAGTTTCTAAAATTCTATTGCCATTTCTTAGCTGCTGAAGTCTTCTATTTTCTTTGTGAGTTTATCTTCCTTTATTAATGTTTATTTTTGGCTTGGGAGAAGAATAAAGGGGTACAAATATTCAATCTTCCATTTTTAACTAGAGCCTGAACTTTTTAGGGTTAAAAATATTAAGTTACTATAAAGTGACATTAGAATCATGATTGTATTTTAATCTGTCATATGAATGTTCCACAATTGCTGATAGCCAGTCTCTGATTAAGGTACCCCACCCAAATTCCTCATGGTAAAAATAGCAACTTAAAGATCATTTTAAGCTTTGAATCTGTGTGGAATTTATTATGTATTTAAGGTTAATTTTTTATTGGAGACAGCAAGATCCTAGGGAAATATAGTATTGCTAGCATGTAACTGGACACACTGTACTTACTTCTCCAGAAATCATCATCACAACTCCATATGATTGAGGAAGTCACCCATATACATTTTATTTTCTCTACACCTTGATGATGTTTAACATTTCTCTGTAGTCTTGAGGAACATTCCTCAGTGAGGGATATTAACATTGCCCTATTCCTTTGTCTGGAACTCTGAAGCAAATTTGTTTTGTTTCTCTTTCCTTAGCTTGGTGTTTTCGGAACTCTGCCCTTTCTCAGGAAGAGGAGGATGCAGCCAGATTTCTTGTATGTAAATTTTAAACATTTACTTGTGTTCTGTATTATTTTATAGTTCAGTTGTAGTAGGTTGCTGTAACCTATCAATAAGTTGGAAAAACTCACCCAGACATGATAGTGCACACCTGTAATCCCAACAGTTAGGAAACTGAAGTAGGAGGATTGCTGCAAGTTCAAAGCCAGCCTAAACTACATAATGAGACCCTATCCCCTCCCCCAAAAAAGTAAAAAAATAGAAAATTAGAGACAGGGGAATAGTGGTGTATGGCTAAGATAAAATAAATGTATCCAAAATTATTCAAGTTGGGCTCAAATTTGAATATGATCTGGAGAGTCAAAGCAAACTGAGACACAAAGTCTGTTCCATAATTTACACTGTTAATGAGGGAAAAAGTTAATATCATTTAAGGAAAGAAGAAGTTTTTCATTGGCACCTACACCTAAAAAGAATTTCTAAAATAATTGCATAAGTTTTATAATTTTAAGTTAGTTTTTAAAAGTTGGTGTTGCCTAAAGATCAAAAATTAAAATGACCTAGAAGAGTAAATGGAGCATGTGTCTTTGAAATGATCTTACTTATGTATATTCTTCAATACAAGTATATTGGGATTTCAGTACAAGTTAAATTAAATTATACTAATAATCCGTGGCAAAGACTTATCTGATATCCATAACTTTTCACACAATTTTTATGGTTGTAGAAGATGTTTTCTTACTTGTCTCACAGTATTACCTGTTCTTCTCTGTTGTTTCTACCTCTGAAGTCACTCACAGTCCTGTATTTTCAACATTTTCCACTTCACTGCTTCTTTTTCTTCAGTTCATATTTTGCCCATCAAGAAACATATGCACACAACTTTTGACCAGATGATCATATGACTCAGGGGCTGGGGATTTAGCTCAGCAGCACAGCGCCTACCTGGCAAGCGCGAGGTCGTGAGTTCAATTTCTGGTACTGGAAAAAAACCAAAAAACCAGAAAAAAAAAAAAAATAATGATCATATGACTCATCCACTTATTTGGCATAGTGATTCTCTGCTCCTAGATAGACTTAGGTTTAGATCTTGCTTTAGTGACTTGCAGAGTATATGATCGGGGCAAGATTGTTAAACTCTTTGTGTCTCAGTTGACATCATCTCTATATGCAATGAAACTTCCCCTATAAGAGCATGGGATGGTTAAATGTAGATAGTAAGTGCTCCATAATTTATAGGTGTTATTGGCCATGTAGTCTTTCTTACCTGAGATGGGCTTGAGACTGTTGTACTACATTGACTATTTCCACTGATCTTTTTAGTTTAACTTGTAACACAAAAGGTGAAAAAAAAGATTATCTGATTTGGGTTAATAAAATTATTCCTTAAATAAAACCACCATTAACACTGTAAAAAACACTGTAACACTAGCAACACTTTTTGTAATACATATAGCAGAAACACAGTAACAACTTTTAAAAACCAGTAATTAAGAAGATAGAAAATAGGATGAAGAATATGAAGAAGCAATCGGAAGAAATACATGTGGCCAATACATATTTTAAAATAATGTCACAAAGAAACAAACAATACATTTTTAGATGTATTTTGAAATAATGAGTAATACCTATCATTTATGAACAAATTTTGAGTTATTAGTTCACACACACATACATTTTATTTTTAGGGTAAAAAGCCTATAAATTGTGTTAAAGGAATCCTTATCTACAACTTGGACACTCTTAGCTGTCAAAGAGTTTATGTATTTCCATTCATATACCAGAGCCAAATATTTCAGTTTGGACTATCAAGCACAAATGGACTACCTGTATTTCAGGCCTTGCTGTCTCAAACACATTCTGGAATGTGGATGTAAATAGATTCCATGACTGCTCTTACTTTAGTAGACTATGCAGCAGTTAGAAAAATCCTATATAATAACTTTATGAGTACTTACTGCATACCAGATGTATTGTGCTATAAACTTTATATAATTTATATAATCATTGTCAGAAGTCTGTGAAATAGATACAATTGTTTTAATTTTTATAGTTGTGGGAAGTGAAACACAAGGGTAAGAAGCTTATATAACTATGTACCAATATGTAGTAAACTCAGAATTTAAACCCATACAGTCTGATTATAGGGTCTGTGCTCTATGATACTATATTCAAGGGCAAAGAACTGCATACTTCGGCACTTGCCTGTTGCCATTGTCTGTTTTGTTATTCCTTTTTCTATTCAAAACTAGAGAATTTTAAGAATGCCTACTTCATTATTAGCATTTATGTATATCTCTTTTTCCAGTCTGTGTCACTTATGCTACTTTCATTGCATTGACAGTTAAAATGGGGTAGTTACATTTAATGTATGATAAATAAGTTCATGTAATAAGGTAATTCCTACTAGAGAACAATGAATGTTTCATAGTCTTCTTTCATGAGTTTCCACTATATTTTTAAAGATAACTTTTCTTCTATTCTGTTATAGAAGGTTGTTTCTTTTCAAAGCTTTGTTCTTAATATGTAGTGTTTAACTGGAATATAATTTGAAATTGGTTTGAGGTAGGAATTTACTGATAATTCTATCAGTAGAATCATTTTTGCATATAGAAAATCAGTTGTTCCAGTACTCTTTGTTTTGTTTTGTTTTTGGCTTTTCTCCGGTACCGGGAACCAAGCTCACGACCTTGTGCTTGCCAGGCAGGCGCTTTGCCGCTGAGCTAAATCCCCAGCCCCTGTTCCAGTACTCTTTATTAAATAGTAGATTGATCTTTTGTGATACTACCTTTATCAGATATGTGCTTAATTGTTTCTAGGTTTAGTCTTTTTATTTTGTCTACAACTTATACCATATTGTACTTTGTATCTTGTGTTTTACATTGTTTAGATAATTATAACTTTATTGTAACCTTAATTCTTGAATAAAGATATTCTTTCTTCCTTCCACACACATGTCCTTAGTTTTTCAGAAATTTCTTAGCTACATTGGGATCTCTGCTTCCATTTGAACTTTAGAGAGTCAGTTTATCTAGTGTTGGGGAGAATAATTTTGGATATTTTAAGTGGAATTGCAAATAATTTTTAGATTAACCGGAGACAGAATTAAGTGAAAAAGCTTTTCTATCATACTCAAAAGATGTTTTAAGGCAATCTCTTATAAGTTATCTTATTTAAGAAAAAAACCACCTTAGTGGAAAATTTCTTAGTATCAGAATCTAAGGTTTAAAGGACCTATTTATAAAACAGGAGTAAAAGAACATTTAACACTATATGTTAAACTACACACACACGCACACACACACACACACACACACATACACACAAAGCAAAATAGAAGAGAGATAAATAGAAAAGAATTCACTACTTCCCCAAATTATGTATTCTGTTGTTATAAAAATATTTCAATATATATGTTAATTTCTTTCATTTATACTAAAAGTTTATCTTTGTTGAAAAGAAAGTTTGTGTTATTATGTTTCTTTTGTGCAAGAATCTTTATGGTTTGTGACTTGTACTGAGTAACTATTTTGAAGATGATACATGGTGTAGTAACTTGTTATTCATGTTGGTTTATGAAAGTGTTATTTTTGTGTAAAATAAAAAGAAAAAAATTATGTGTTAAATTATTCACACACATGTATAACTCACGTACACTATACAAAACCCAGCACCATGTTTACTGGTAAAAATTAGACACCTTCCTAGAAAAGTCAAGAAACATGACTGGATTGCCCATTCTACTATATTTATTTACTATAATTTTATATGCCTAGGGATTTAAATAAGGAAAAATTGAGGTAAAAATTGGGAAGGTAAGCTGGATGTGGCTCATGCCTGCACTTCCAGCACTCTGAAAGGCTAAGGCAAGAGATTGAAAGTTTAATGCCAGTCTAGGCAATTTAGCAAGACCATGTCGCAAAATACAAAAATGGGCTGGACATGGTACCACATGCCTGTAATCCCAGCACTTGGGAGGCTGAGGCAGGAGGATCGTTGTGAGTTTAAGACCAGCCTGCGCTACAAAGTGAGTTCAAAGACAGCCTGAACTGCATAGCGAAACCCTATCTCAAGAAGACAAAAAAAAAACAAAATGGCTGCAGATGTAGCTTAGTGTAAAGATCCCACATTCAATCCCCAGTGCCTAAAAAAGGAAGGTGCATACAAAATTAGATAACAGAAGAATGCGATTATGTATGTTTGCCACAAGTCAACCATGTATGGACTATACACAAAGTAAATACACAAAAATCAGTAGTGCTCTGTATAAACCACAGCCAGTTCAGAAATAAAGTGGTAGAAAGTTGCTCAGAGCATTAACAAAACTTGCAAACAAGATGGGAATTGTCTCTAGTGTGCTATACTGTGTGTGTTGCAGGGGAAACCTTCTGCTGCCCCTTTACCTCCAATAACTGGGATTGAACCCAGCACACTTCACATATGCTTGGCAAGTACTCTAACCTTGAGCTGCATCTCCAGTCCTTTTTAAAATGAGACAGGTCTTGCTAAGTTGCCTGGGCTGGCCTCAAACTTTTGATCCTCCTGCTTCAGCTTCCCAGTTAGCCTGGATTGCAAGCATAAACTACCACACTCCACCCCCAAAATCTTTAAAATATTATTGAGACCGAAAAGAATTTGAATACATTTTTAAATACTCTCATTTTGATTAACCAAGATTTGTCTAACTCTCACTTAAGATTCTAAATATTTCTGGACACATGCTTATAACTCCAGCTGTTTGGAGGCTGAGGCAGGAAGATTCCAAGTTCTAGAGGCCAACCTGGGAAACAGCAAAGTGCTGTGTCAGAAGAGGAGGGTGAGGACTGGGAATGTGACACAGTAGTAGAGCACTTGCCTCATACGTATGAGGCCTTGAGTTCAATCCCCAGTACTACAAAAAAATTTTTAAAAATTTTTTCTTAGATAAGACTATTTACATAGACAACTGTATAGTACATTTGTAAAATAAAATGTACAGAGAAGCAAGAAAAATTATGGAAAGATATTCTGTGGCATGCTGTCAATTTTAAAAAGG